TTGCTCCAAAGAGTGACATCGCAAGCCCTGGTCCCTAAGATCTTGGGCCCAGTTTTTGCTCCAAAGAGTCAAATCGCAAGCTCTGGTCCCTAAGATTTTGGGTTCAATTTTTGCTCCAAAGAGTCAAATCGCAAGCCCTGGTCCCTAAGATTTGGGGCCCAGTTTTTGCTCCAAAGAGTCCAATCGCAAGCCCTGGTCCCTAAGATTTTGGGCCAAGTTTTTGCTCCAAAGAGTCACATCGCAAGCCCTGGCCCCTAAGATTTGGGGCCCAGTTTTTGCTCCAAAGAGTGACATCGCAAGTCCTGGTCCCTAAGATTTTGGGTTCAATTTTTGGTCCCTAAGATTTTTGGTTCAATTTTTGCTCCAAAGAGTGACATCGCAAGCCCTGGTCCCTAAGATTTTGAGTTTGTTTGTTGCTCCAAAGAGTGACATCGCAAGCCCTGGTCCCTAAGATTTGGGGCCCAGTTTTTGCTCCAAAGAGTCACATCGCAAGCCCTGGTCCCTAAGATTTGGGGCACAGTTTTTGCTCCAAAGAGTGACATCGCAAGTCCTGGTCCCTAAGATTTTGGGGTCAAATTTTGCTCCAAAGAGTGACATCGCAAGCCCTGGTCCCTAAGATTTGGGGCCCAGTTTTTGCTCCAAAGAGTCAAATCGCAAGCCCTGGTCCCTAAGATTTGGGGCCCAGTTTTTGCTCCAAAGAGTCAAATCGCAAACCCTGCTCCCTAAGATTTTGGGCCCAGTTTTTGCTCCAAAGAGTCAAATCGCAAGCCCTGGTCCCTAAGATTTTGGGTTCAATTTTGCTCCAAAGAGTGACATCGCAAGCCCTGGTCCCTAAGATTTGGGGCCCAGTTTTTGCGCCAAAGAGTAAAATCGCAAGCCCTGGTCCCTTAGATTTTTGGGTCGATTTTTGCTCCAAAGAGTCAAATCGCAAGCCCTGGTCCCTAAGATTTCGGGGTCGATTTGTGCTCCACAGAGTCAAATCGCAAGCCCTGGTCCCTAAGATTTTGGGCCCAGTTTTTGCTCCAAAGAGTCACATCGCAAGCCCTGGTCCCTAAGATTTGGGGCCCAGTTTTTGCTCCAAAGAGTGACATCGCAAGTCCTGGTCCCTAAGATTTTGGGGTCAAATTTTGCTCCAAAGAGTAACATCGCAAGCCCTGGTCCCTAAGATTTTGGAATCGATTTTTGCTCCAAAGCAAGCCCTGGTCCTAAAATGTTGGGCTCAATTTTTGCTTTTCCCTTCTCTTCTGCTTCCTTTTAACTGATAAAACACAAGAAAGGAACTCATATGATAAAGCAGTGGAAAGGTAAGCAGAGGGTGACTCCTTGCGCGTGAGCCTTTCCATAATACTCCATCATATTCATCCTCTCGGCCTATCTCTTCTGTTCCTTTCCTTACTCTTCTCCTTCTCATAGTTCTTCCTTTTTGTTTTTCTCATTTCGAAAAGAAAGAGGGAAGGGAGAAACAAGGGAGAGAGAATAGATAAAGAAGAGTGCCATCTTCTCTGCGCCTTGTTTTGTCTCTCCCTCTTCTCTATTCATCTGTCTTCTATTCTCTTCCTTGCTCTTCCCATTAAATATGCAATCCTTGGTATCTCTCCTCTCTCCTTCTCTCTTCCTCCAACAGATGTGCTTTTGGATCGTTTTCTGCATCTTCAAGCGAGAAAAAAGGACACAGAATGCGATTAAAAGGGACGCCCATGTTGGATTGGCAGCAAGCCCAGCTGATGCTCATGATTCTCTCTCTTTCCCTACACATGGGCGATGGAACGGGTGTCCTTTTCAATCGTTTTCTGCATCTTCAAGAGAAACAGGGACACCCCACAAGAAGGAAAAGCAACATAAGAGATAGGGAGGGAAATTGACCCTTTCCTCTCTTCTTATCTGCTATTTTTCTTATTCGCTTCAAAAAGCAACATAAGGGAAAGGGGATTTCCTGAAGAGGAGAGAGGGAACCTATCTGTGAAAAGCAAGAATGGTTTTTTCTAGTTCGAAAGGGAATAGGGAGAGACAAGGGAGAGATGATATGTACAGCTTTGCGCCTTATTTTGTGATTCCGTCTCCTTGCTTCCTGTCTCTTCTATTCCTTGCAGCACGCTTCGGGAAACATAGCATCCTTGTTATCTTTCCTCTCTCACTTCCCTTTCCCTTCTCTTCTTCCGCTTCCTTTTAACTGATAAAACACAAGAAAGGAACTCATATGATAAAGCAGTGGAAAGGTAAGCAGAGGGTGACTCCTTGCCCGTGAGCCTTTCCATAATACTCCATCATATTCATCCTCTCGGCCTATCTCTTCTGTTCCTTTCCTTACTCTTCTCCTTCTCATAGTTCTTCCTTTTTGTTTTTCTCATTTCGAAAAGAAAGAGGGAAGGGAGAAACAAGGGAGAGAGAATAGATAAAGAAGAGTGCCATCTTCTCTGCGCCTTGTTTTGTCTCTCCCTCTTCTCTATTCATCTGTCTTCTATTCTCTTCCTTGCTCTTCCCATTAAATATGCAATCCTTGGTATCTCTCCTCTCTCCTTCTCTCTTCCTCCAACAGATGTGCTTTTGGATCGTTTTCTGCATCTTCAAGCGAGAAAAAAGGACACAGAATGCGATTAAAAGGGACGCCCATGTTGGATTGGCAGCAAGCCCAGCTGATGCTCATGATTCTCTCTCTTTCCCTACATATGGGCGATGGAACGGGTGTCCTTTTCAATCGTTTTCTGCATCTTCAAGAGAAAAAGGGACACCCCACAAGAAGGAAAAGTAACATAAGAGATAGGGAGGGAAATTGAAGAACTCCTCATTGTACTTGGTCATTCCCTTTCCTCTCTTCTTATCTGCCCATTTTCTGTGCGCCTTGTTTTGTCTCCCCCTCTTCTCCCATCATCTCTCTTCTGGTCTTTTCTTTGCTCTTCCCATTAAAAATGCAACCCTTTTTATGTCTCCTCTCTCCTTCTCTCTCCCTCCTCTCCTCCTGTTCCCTTCTAAACGACAAAAACGCAAGAAAGGAAGAATAAGAGGGGAATGGAGGCCCTGTTCCTTTTCCTCTTTCAATGGATGGGGGAAGTGGGCGGAGTTGGCCCCTTGCCCGTACACCCTCCCCATGCTTCAGCAAACCCCTCCTCTCGCCCTATCGCCTCTGTTTTTTTCCTTGTGCCCAAACGGAAAACGAAAACGGGTTCCTTTATATGTTCATTGTCCTTCCTTTTGTTTTTTTATTTCACAGGGAAAAGAACCAGAGAAGAGGAAGATAAGAACGAGAGGTGAGATGAAAACGGCACCATCTTCTCTTTGCCTTATTTTTGCACCTCCCTCTCCTGTCTTAATTTCTCTTCCACTCTTTTTTTTCCATTGCTCTTCCCATAATATTGCATTCCTTTTGATAACTCACAGGAAATTAAAATGGCCTCCTTGTTGTCTCTCCTCTCTCACTTCCCTTTCCCTTCTCTCCTTCTGTTTCCTTTTAATTTTAACTGATAAAACACAAGAAAGGAGCTTGTAAAATCAAGCAGTGGAAGGGTAAGCAGAAGGTGACTCCTTGTGCGTGGACCTTTGCCGTACTTCACCATACCCCTCTTTTCGGCCTATCTCTTCGGCTCTTTTCCTAACCCTTCTTCTTTTCATCTTTCTTTTTGTTTTTCTCATTTCGAAAAGACAGAGGGAACGGAGAGATAAGGGAGAGAGGATAGATAAAGAAGAGTACCATCTTCTTTGCGCCTTGTTTTGTCTCTCCCTCTCCTTTATTCATCTCTCTTCTATTCTTTTCTTGGCTCTTCCCATGAAAATTGTGTTCCTCTTATCTTTCCCTCCTTCTCTCCCTTCTCTTCTCCTCACGAGAGCCTTCGACTTTAGGGTTGAGGAGAAAAAGAGAAGAGAAAAGAGGAACTACCTGGTTCTTGTTCCTGAGGCCTCCATAGTACGACTGACGTGACAGCAGCGTTCCCTCGTGGAAACGTGTATGGCTATAAGAAAACCCGAGTCCCAGCTTCCAAATAGACCCTATTTAAGCCACCCCACCCCCCCCCCCCCCCCCCCCTGGGGTTTTGGGACTTTGCGCTTAGGGTTAGCGGGTCATTGGGGTCATTAGGGTTGAGGGTTTTACGAAATGCCTGGGCCTCTAACCAAACCCTCAACTCCTGAAACCGCGAAGACATGTCCTTGCTCTAAACCCAGTTAAACCCTAAAGCCCTAAACCCCAAACCGGGGCTCCAGGCGAAGTCATGCCGTTGGGGATTGTGGCTGCGAACCCTAAACCCGAAACCCTAAACCCGAAACCCTAAACCCTGAACCCTAAACCCTATGCAGATTTTAAAGGGTACCCCTGAGGTGAGACTGCAGAAACTACCTTTCAAAAATTCTAAACTCTAAACCCTAAACCCTATAAGGAAACTGCTTTTCAAATTTCTGGGACTTCGCACCATGGTGCCACCGGCGCGCTCGAGAACGTGGCATCGAAGTCGTCCATCATACTGCGGGGGCGGCGCTGCGCAACTGTGGGGTTGAGGGTTTAGGGTTAGGGTTTAGGGTTTAGGGTTTAGGGTTTAGGGTTTAGGGTTTAGGGTTTAGGGTTTAGGGTTTAGGGTTTAGGGTTTAGGGTTTAGGGTTTAGGGTTTAGGGTTTGGGGTTTGGGGTTTAGGGTTTAGGGTTTAGGGTGGTTCAGGGTTTGTTCAGGGTTTAGGGTTTAGGGTATCCGACCCCTAGACCCTTGAACCGAAGATTGAGAAGTGGACGTTTTAGCGTTGAGCTGCGATGGGTCTTAGGGAGCTCTCGAGGTTTTAGGGTTTAGGGTTTAGGTTTAGGGTTTAGGGTTTAGGCTGGGCATGCCGGAGCACGAGGCAAGCTTGTCGTGAGAGCTCTACCCAAAGGCTCCTGTGGAGCACCTTTTTTGGGTAGTCTAAAGAATCCCCCCTTAGCCAACCCAAAAAGGAACTACAAACGAGCCTTCATGGGGCACCTTTCTTGGGTAGTATAAAGAATCCCCCCCTAAACCAACCCAAAAAGGAACTACAAAAGAGCCTTCAGGAAAATTCTGGCCTTGAAGATGACAGGCGACTGCCGCAATTTCGAGGCATACATACATATATATATATATATGTTGAGGCATGAGAAGGGGGGGCACACACAAATTTTATGTTAGGGTTTAGGGCCTTCAGCTCTGTCGCAGACTCTACTGGCTCCTCTTTTGCCGCGTCCATTACCAGCTGAACAACGCTCTTGCATAGCACGCCGATAACGAAGGATATCACCGTCACCCGAATTCTTTGTAGGGTGATGGTGAAGCCGAACACAGAGAACGTCATCTTCTCCTGGTTCTGGTAGAGAGCCCTGTAAACATCGTTGTCCCGCGTTGCTAGGGGCCACGCAAAGATCTGCTCGTTAAACCTCGCAAGAGACAAGACTTGTAGCCTTAGTAGCCCAGTAACCAAGTATAATAAGGGCACCCTTTCTTGGGTTGGTTACTTTATAACCCTTAGGGTAAGGGAACCTTGAACCCCAAAAAAGGGAAAAGGGTTTAGGGTTGAGGGCCACTGGGCTACCAAGTAGCCAGAGGTATGCCATCGCCAGAGGTGCCCCGATGGACCATACCAGCACAAACTGTGCAAAGTTTCGTACGTCCTCCTGGAATGCTCTTTCTGGTTTAGGGTTTAGGTTTCCGGGTTTAGGGTTTAGGGTTGGGCCCTTAACCCCAGAACCCCAAAGCTTAAACGTCTCCTGGGCAGGCAGTAGCACCATGATCAGCATGAATATGTAGGTCATCGGCATCCTGGTGTGTGGATTTTGGAGGCCCGATGAGCAATCAAAACTAAATGCAGGATTTAGGGTTTAGGGTTTAGGGTATAACATAATCACCAAGACTCCCAAGAAAACCTAAAACACTCTCGCCGCATGGGTATTTCTCTGAATTAAGTTCCTTTTTTGGGTTCCTAGCCCTATACCCTAAACCCTAAACCCAAGTACCCAAATGTTATGTACAGTCTCAAGTCAATCTCAGCATCAGTGAGTCGATGGCAACGTGCAAGCGCAAGAAGCAGCGCCAGCGCCTGGGGCATTTAAGCGTGTGGCAGGGCTTGAGGCTTAAGGTTTCGGGTTTAGGGTTCAGGGTTCACGGTTCATGGCTTAGGGTTGAATTAGGGTCAAGGCTTCAGGGTTCAGGGTTTAGGGTTTAGGGTTCAGGGTTTTTACGGTTCAGGGTTTATGGATCAATGTGGCACATCTGAAAAAAAACCGAACGGCAAACCCTATTCAGCCCTGAACGCTGAACCCAAAGCCTTGCATCCCAATCCACTGTCCTGACCGGGCCAGCCTAAACCCTAAACCCTAAACCCTAAACCCTAAACCCTACATCCAAAACCTCCAGAAGATACCAAGTCCCGAAACATGTTCCCCAGAAAGAATGGGAACCGGACAGTCTTCAACTGCAGCTTAGCAGAAACCTGGGTAGCTCTCTTATCTCTTACTCATGGTCCCTTTTTGGGTCCCTGTATAGTAGACACTAACCCCCCTCCCAAACCCTAAACCCTAAACCCTAAACCCTAAACCCTAAACCCTAAACCCTAAACCCCAAACCCCAAACCCGAAACCCTAAACCCTAAACCCTGGCGCGGCACCTTTCCACCGCAGTTATCTCCTCCACGAACTCCAGGATCGAATCTTCCGAGCAGCGGCCAGGGGCGGCGACGACCTCTTTGGCAGCCCCCAGGCGCTCCTAGAACGCATGACGTGGTTTAGGGTTTAGGGTTACCCTAAACCCTAAACCCTGAATTGTAACCCTAACCCTAACCCCAACTACACCCCAAACCCTCAACCCTAAACACCCCAGGGTTGGTTCCTTATACTATCAGTCCTTACTGGGGATTTAAAAAGGGGGTACTTTCCTCCCTATTTAGGACTCTTAGAATACGGCGGAACATCCCAACCCTAAAGGATCTAACCTGGAACTGCTTACACCCCCCAAGAGGAGAGCCTCCAAATCAAAAAAAACACGAGTAAACCCTAAGCCCTAAACCCTAGACCCGAAACCCTAAACCCCAAGAGGAGGGGCTCCAAATCGAACTGCATGAGCAAGATGGTGGCAAGGTGTGGGGGGATCCCGAAGGGGATGTGGACAACCCCGTACCTGGGCTGTGCTAAGAGGGTTTAGGGTTTAGGGTTTATTTAGGGTTTAGGGTTTAGGGTTTAGGGTTTAGGGTTTAGGGTTTAGGATGGCGCTTGGGCCGCTCCAGGGCTCCAGGCTTTGGTCTTTGTTTTGTTTTTGGGGGTTGAGGATGTAGGGCCTGGAGTTTAGGGTTTAGGGTTTTAGGGTTTAGGGTTTAGGGTTTTAGGGTTTAGGGTTTTAGGGTTTTGGGGTCTTGGGGTCTTAGGGTTTTAGGGTTTTAGGGTTTTAGAGTATTCGGGCAAAGACATAGGGTTGGGGGTTGTGGTGCCGGAAAGGTTGAGGGTCTATGAAGGTTGCAGCTTGAAATGCGGTGGGTGTTTTTGCAGGAACAAGGTTTTAAAGCCCAGGGCCTTACATATTTCAAAGCTATCCTCTGTGCGACACAAGATGCAAGACTTGAAACATGAAAAACCGTGCTTCAAAGTCCGAGCGAGCGTGGAAGCTTGAGAGGAAGAGCCACTCCTTGAGCAGGGCGAAGACCAAGGGACTGAGGAAGGACCCTTATCAGGGTTTAGGGTTTAGGGTTTAGGGACCTTAGGGGGCATTTCGGGTTTAGGGTTTCGGGTTTAGGGCTACTTAGGCAAAATTAGGGACCTATTCTATACCATTATAAGGTATATATAGGGGTTCTATAGGGGACTGGGATTCAGGGGTCCCTCCTCGAGCAGGGCGAAGACCAACACCGCCACCAGAAGGCAAGCTGCAGCGGTGGTCCAGCGGCAAACCTCGCGCAATCGGAGGCTCGCCGCGGAGCCTGGACTGCTACACTCAACAGGGTTTAGGGTTTAGGGTTTAGGGTTTAGGGTTTAGGGTTTAGGGTTTAGGGTTTAGGGTTTGGAATTGAGGGTTTAGGGTTTAGGTTTCGGGTGTAGGGTGTAGGGTTTAGGGCTTAGGGTTGAGGGTTTAGGGTGTAGGGCACTTGCAGTTTTGGGAATGGTGGATGTGGAGGGCTAAAGATTTCGCGTCTAGGTTTTCCAGTGAACAGAAAAAAGTCACCTGTTTGTCTGTAATGTAGGTTGATAGATCTGTATTAAGGGAGACTAACTCTAAAACAAGCGAGTACATGTACTGCTGGGCAAGCTAGTTCCACCCTAATCGCTGCCCACAAGCCTCGCAAAGTTTGGGTTTTCGGGTTTAGGGTTGAGGGTTTAAAGTTTAGGGTTTAGGGTTCAGGCGTATGATGACAGGGGCCTAGAAGGGGCCAGGATTCTAACACCAGACCTGACCAGTTGCTGGTGGAAACCGTCTGTGGCTCAGCCGAGGCCTGAGCCTTTTGCCCTAAGCCCCGAAGCCACGCTAGAACCCCTAACCCAAATCGTGAAATTCCTGAGCCCTTAGGGTTTAGGGTTTAGGGTTTAGGGTTTAACTGCCCTTGCACCGCACGAGCCCAGTCCAAGTCGAGCGACCACTTGGAGAAGCAGCTGACCAGGCGTCACGGCGGTAGCGCTTCCGCCGCGCGAAGACCTCGGGGCGGGGCAAAGGTGAGGTGTAAGGTGGGATTCAGGGTTTAGGGTGTAGGGAAAGGGGGGGGGGGAGGGGGGGGAGGGGAGGGGGAGGTCAACGAGCTCGATTCAGGAGTGACGGAGGAATGAACTTGTGCCCTTTTTGGTTTAAAGGGGCTTTTAAGGGAACCTGGACCCCCTCAAAAGATGGAATAGGGGCCTACTCTGAGTCCCTTAAAACGAGCGGCCAGGTGAACAATGATGCTGGCAAGCTCTGCGCAGCTGTAGGTCAGCGCGCAGACCTGTCTTTTCGGGCTCAGGAGTTCGGACTTGGGGAGATTTGGTGTGTAAGGATGCCATAAACCATAAACCCTGAACCCTAAACTTTAAACCCTAAAAGAGAACCCTGAGCCCTGAATCCTTTTTGGGCTGGTACCCCTGGAACCTCCAGAGCTTCAGGGCTTTAGGTTGAGAAGTTCCTGATCCCTAAGCCCCTGCATACTGCAGACCCTAACGACATTGCTTGGGCCCCAAGGAAGTTTGGTGTGGGGTTCAAAGCTTAGGTTTAGGGTTTAGGGTTCAGGGTTCAGGGTTTAGGGTTTAGGTTTTAGGGTTGTGGGGATGATCCTTTTAAGTCTGAAGGCCTGCTGTAAAATCAGGTCTTCAGCCCTGCTGTAATGACTGTAATGCGCTCGCTGGCTGATTTCTGAGGTAGCAAACGGTTCACCACCGTGGGATTTAAAGGGCTTAACATACCCCAAAAGGCTCAGTACTCAGTGATATACCTACCTACTCGGAGCGGCTAGTTCAGAGTAGCCTGGACCCCCCGAAGCCCCTAAACCCTAAACCCTAAACCCTAAACCCTAAACCCTAAACCCTAAACCGCCTCGAGATAGGTGAGCCCGGCCATCATGGAATAGTACAGCGACATCAGACGCGCACCAATTGCTATCGAGGGAGCCTCGGATGTATGTATGGCATGACTGCTCCCTGCCACAAGGGTGGGTAACAGCCAGTCAAGGCGGTTTAGGGTTTAGGGTTTAGGGTTTAGGGTTTAGGGTTTAGGGTTTAGGGTTTAGGGTTTAGGGTTTAGGGTTTAGGGTTTAGGGTTTAGGGTTTGGGGCTTAGGGCTTAGGGCTTGGGGCTTAGGGTTTAGGGTTTAGGGCTTCAGGCTTCTCAGGGCTGAGTATTTTTGCTGGGCCTTATCAGGCTTCTTGATCATTTAGGGTTTAGGGTTTAGGGTTTAGGGTTTAGGGTTTAGGGCTTCTTTCCAGGGTCTTACAGGTTGCATATAGGGTTCTGCAGGCTGTCTGTTTCTTGATCTCCCAATCGCCATGCTAACATAAGGGAACCCTTGCCTTATAAGGGAACTAAGGGTTTAGGGGGTTTAGGGGGTTTAGGGGGTTTAGGGGGTTTAGGGTTTAGGGCTTGGGGGTTAGCAGCCCCTATATCCGAAAACCAAAGCTAGCCCAAAATCCTCAACCTAAACCCTGGGCCTTAGACCCTACCACAACCGAATGAAGACAAAATCCCCCGAACAATCAAACCCTGGCCAACTGACCTTCTGCTTTAAGTGCACATTGGCGATTCTGTTGTCCTTCAGCCTTAAAACCTGCGCAGTTTTGCCGCTACATAAACCCCAAATCCTGAATTACTACATCCTAAAACACTTAGACCTTAACCCTAAACCCCGAACTATTGAGTTTCTAAACCCTAAACCCTAAACCCTAAACCCTAAACCCTAAACCCTAAACCCTAAACCCTAAACCCTAAACCCTAAACCCTGAACCCTAAAACCATGCACAGGGGCCAGCAGAATCAGCGGCCAGCACCGCAGGTCGGTGGAGACGTCAAGGATGCACCTCCATGGCTCATGGATCAAAAGTAAGGTTAGGGTTTAGGGTTTAGGGTTTAGGGTTTAGGGTTTAGGGTTTAGGGTTTAGGGTTTAGGGTTTAGGGTTTAGGGTTTAGGGTTTAGGGTTTAGGGTTTAGGGTCTAGGGTCTAGGGTCTAGGGTTTAGGATGGTTTAGGGCTTAGGGTCTGGGGTTTAGGGTCTCGGGTTAAGGTCCTGTGTGTGTATGTGTTTGGGTTTTCGGGTCCCAATAACCTGCGACCGAAAGCCTTACCTCCTGACTTCAAAGATGGGGTCTCTTCACCGGAAACCCAAGACCGCGAGCCCCAACTTTTGAGGACCCACGGCCTGGCGATCTGAGGTTGTTAGGGTTTAGGGTTTAGGGTTTGGGGTTTAGGATTTAGGGTTTAAGGTTTAGGATTTAGGGTTTAGGGTTTGGGGTTTAGGGTTTAGGATTTAGCGTTTGGGGGTACCTCATTTTCATATACTTGGGCCCCACTCCCTAGGCAGGAGGTACTTTAAGACCCAAATATTCCCTATTTAGGCACATGGAAACCCTAAACCCCAAACCCCAAACCCCAAACCCTAAACCCTAAACCCTAAACCCTAAACCCTAAACCCCAACCCTAAACCCTAAACCCTAAACCCTAAACCCTAAACCCTAAACCCTAAACCCTAAACCCTAAACCCTAAACCCTAAACCCTAAACCCTTTTTGAATGCGTCCTTGTGTTCGCGCCTCCTTGTCACTGGGCCGAGGCCCATCGCAGCCCCCACGTCCCAAGTGGACGTCGGGCGCTCCGGCGTTGCCAAAGACAATTCCATGGCTTCACTTAGGGTTTAAGGTTTAAGGTTTAAGGTTTAGGGTTTAGGGTTTAGGGTTTAGGGTTTAGGGTTTAGGGTTTAGGGTTTAGGGGTCGGGACAAAGGATCGCAGGGAGGGGTGTGCATTAGGGTTTAGGGTTTGGGGTTTAGGGATTTCTTAAGGTTGGTTAGGCTCTAAGGCATAAGGGGATTTCTCTAATTTCAAGTGCTCCTTTTGATCTTTTATTTTCTTTGGGGGGTTCCTTACAAAGGGATGATGGTATACGTGGGGTACCTGCGTAAGGGTTTGGGCAGTTTCGTTTCCAGAGGGTCTCCATGGGTTTGGGGTTTGGTCTTTGGGGTGTGGGGTTTTTGGGATTCGGGTTTGGGGTTAAGGGTTTAGGTTTTTGGGATTAGGGATTAGGGTTTAGGGTTTAGGGTTTAAGGTTTAAGGTTTAGGGATTCGGGTTTGGGGTTAAGGAGCTTGAGTAAGGGGCGGGGATCAGAGTTGGCTTTTGGGCTTGAGCTCGGGGGGGTGTTGGTCTGTCGGGCTTAGGGAGGTTTAGGGTTTAGGGTTTAGGGTTTAGGGTTTAGGGTTTAGGGTTTAGGGTTTAGGGTTTAGGGTTCAGGGTGCTCAGGGGGGTGTAGCTGCGTAGGGAGTTCCGTGGCTTGGGAGTCGGATCCCCCCCCCCCCCCCCCCCTCACGACAAAAACTAAGCACACATTGCCGATGGCGGCTCCTGTCAGCCAGTCAGGCAAGCATGCAGGTATTTTGGGAATCTCAATCTTAAACTCTTCATGACCACC